TCGGGCAAGAAGGGAAAGTTTAGGAGTGAATGGATGACCAGCGTGCTCAACAATTACGCCGTCAACCAACGGGGTGGGGGGCGCAATTGGTTCAAAATTATTTTGGTTAGCTAGGGTTGTCTGACGTCATGCAAGCGGGTCATAGCATTCCCACAAAACATTGGTCTTGGTTCGAATTACATGACAAATAAATTACTAGTTGCTTGATTTACAGTCAACAAATTGATTGCCAATATGACTTCATCTCTACCCAGCTGCGAAGTCATATGGACCGACCCTGAAAACCCTCATAATCGCTCTCTCTTTCCGGATTCTCGTGGTACACGCATCATCTAGATCATGAAACGCTGACTGAGAGCACTCAGCTGTTGCGTAGGGTCTGGATTCTCCAAACACGGTCCATTATTAGCTGTATAGCAATGTGATCTGTCTGCCACCGACTTCACCATGTAACTAGGTACTACCATTAGGAACTTGCCACACTAGTTCATCTCAGTTCCTCTCTTCCATGGGTCAGAACGCCAACAAGGCGGGATTCTTCCATATTCGTGCCACTGGCAATTGTGAACGTGTAGCAAACGGCAGTTGGGTAGCTTGTGGTTACTCTGAACAAAGCAGGTTTGAACTGTTCTACTTCCGCGAAATGATACAATTCAGTGCGATAAAACCAGGCCTTCATCCGATATCTGACTTCAGTTCACCTCGCAATTACAGTGACAAGTCTGAGCCTTTCTGATCCGTACCTTTCTACATTTAAAGAAATCTGGTGGCTTTGCTCTTCTTGTTTGTGATGCTCCAGAGTTTAAGTTTCACTGCTCTCCACTGTTTTTCATCCATTAGGTGATGTGGAACAGAATGAGGTTTTAGAAAAGTGAACTGAAATTTCTCCTCTACATACGGAGTTTTGGAGTGGTCAGGTAACCGTTTCAGTTTTGTGGATATGAGAAGCGTTCCACCAACTTGAGACAGGGCAAATGGAAATATGATGAGGATTTTGTATGAATTCCTATTGAACACAACTGAAACAAAAGGAGAAAAAATCCCCGTCCCTCTGTTTACCAGACGGGTGATCAACCGACTGAAGTACTGGAGCTCCTGTCTCAGTCGAAGTTTAGGCACTTGAACGTGATCCAACACGCCCCTGATTTCTAGGTTTACAATCAGAGACTGTCAGCACCACAGTGAATTTTGGTACGCCCAGTCTGTTGAAGATGTTGCGTAATGCACGCTTCACCATAGATCCAATGTACCAAAGAAAACCCGAGATAGCGAAAATAGGACGAACGGCGATTTCACTCAACAAGAGCACAGAGCAATTAGTTTCTTTCCGTTCTTTTTTACTTGTTATTTGGGTGACCGAGCAGAATATAAGCAGCGACGGACTAAGCAAAAAGACGCTAACAGCGCACTAGGTGTTGATCATAAAAGGAATTTGACAGGAGAGACCAAAAACAGTTAGAACTGAGTTACGGGCCACAGACATACTGTGTAGGCAATTTGTCATACTGTAAAAGACGTGTGGTCTTGTTAAGAGTGATACAGGGAATTTCATTATCTATTATTTAGCTTGACTTCAAAATGAATTTCATAGTAAAACCACCACGGAACTTTGCGGCGTTTATAGTTGCCATGGTCACCAGCAGAAGAATAAAACAAGTTTCACACAGGTAGCAACTATTCTAACCAAATTTTGGGTTGAAAATGATGACACTAGTCAAGATAATATTTCCTGTGGAGATTGGTAACAAAATCGTATCTGGGTCTCTCTGCCGGTGAACTAATTGGGATGCATCATTCTTGTCCGTTTAGGTATCAAGGTTAAACAAAAATTGATTCTGCCAGTCATCTCCCCAAGGGCTCACGATGCAAACAATATTATCGCAGACTTGTGCATTCCAGAAAGTCACATTGTTCTCGAAAGTCTCGTAATTAAAGGTGAGTTTCTTTCAATCTCTCCCAATTGCCTCTACTTGGTACTCTGTTCTCCAAGATTTTGGACATTTACAAATCCACTGACCGATGAAAACTATCGGGATGAATCTCAAACAGTTGGGTACTTTTTGTGAGCACACAATGCACAGCTGATGTTTCATTCCAGTCAATAACTTTATTGACTGAACGATAAGGTTACCCTGCACGGATGGAACTTCAGCTGGAGCCACTTTTGTTTTTCTTTTGAAAGTTCTCTTACGAGTTAGCTTCTTTCCTTTAAGAAAAGGCTATTTTTTCCTTGTTTCCCCCGGGTGACCTTCTCAGAATGGAAAATAGTGAAAAAGATGAAGAAGGAAATAGAAGGGGGTTGAGAGGAACAAACAACAATTAAAAGAACCTCCTTAGATCGAGATCCTTACACGAGCGAGCAATTTTCTCATGTATTGCACTGATATTACAGTAAGTAGAATAGAAGGCTCCACTAAATGCCAGGTTCTATAGCTGGAACGCGTTTGATCCATACAATAGGTTCCAGCAAATCAATTCTCCAGCCGACGAAGTAGATATTGTGACAACTCCAGGGACCGTAGTAAGTTGACCTTAGTAAAAAACCGCCAAGCCTGTAGCTAACCTTCGTTTTATCAAGTCTTGCCGATCAGGTACCAGTAAGTTTTACTCAGAGCTTACCGACGCATTCACTAGCATCTCCTTGCTTTTAGAGGAAATCTGATAAATTAATAAGCAGACGTCGAAGTCATGTCGTTCAGATGAAAGTGTCAGGTGTACGACTGCAGATGCCAACTTGTCCTCATTTCGCAAAGCGTTTAGGTGCATAGTAGGTGTTAGTGACCTAGCTGGTACTGAGCACTGATCAGCAAACAAACAGGGCACAGTGTGAGTATAGTTGCGCCGGGAAACTAAATAAGGTGCGTTTTTGGCTCGTACTTGTTTTCAAATGACGATTTTGTCCAAAAACGTTGGCCATAACGATGGAACAGACCAACCTGGATAGAACTATACTGATACTTAACCCATCAATGCTATAAGAAACATGTGACTATTCACAGTGAATTGGTTACGTTGAAACAAGTCACAGTGTGGGTAATAAGGTGCGGATTCGTATAATCAATATAGTGCACAATCCCAGATACATTGGAGAGTGCTTTCGGCCCACATGTGACCAAATCCCCCTCAGTGGAAGTCAGGAAGACAACTTTATTTGGCAACTTTGGGTATTCACACCTATGGGCGATCACAATGCTTGCCTTATTTTGAGCGTCGTCACCGGTCCTACTTAAACAGTCAGTCTGGTTAGTTCTAATATAGCTCATTCCTTCAATTCAACTGGTCCACATTCACTTCGAGAACTTTACCAGAACAAGCTACTAGTTCCAGCCCGATATCTTCCCATAGACTGTCTCAAAGTGCGACCAGAAGTGCCAGTAGACTAGTACTCGTTATTTGGCGATGCTCTGTCTATCAAACTCCATGAAAGGTTCATAAAGGTTCCATCACCAGTCGATTAGATGCTATCAGTCTACTGTTGGAATGGTATTCCCGCCCTTTTGGCGTTCATTTTGAAGAGCATCTGATAGTTTCAATGTGACTGACCATTTAGAGACTGGGCTTCTTTTAATTTCTTAGGTCACTTTGTCATTCATGTCACGTTTTGGTATGTATCTGCAACACTTTGTTGGTTGATTGTACTCTTTATGTATCTTTACTGTACCACACCGTGGTCTGATTTCTCTTTCACTCATCTGTCTGCTGCGTCCTCAACTTCCTTCTCTTTTAAGTGTGGAGATACATACGTGCCAAGACCCCATTCTTGGTTCTGTCCAGTCCTTGATACAGTGCTCCATCATTTGCCTGCTTACATCTAACAGTCACTTGAATTTGGCTGGTAGGCTTCAGCTGACCACGTGGCTTTTCCTCCATTTCTTTGGATACTTTTGAACTTAAATACTCCGGAACCGTGATCTTGATAGTCTGGGCCAGTCAAAATGTTTAGTAAATAGTCCCATTCGAGACCAGAATACAGTGGTTGAAGGCGGTTCTCACAATATGCTTACCGGTGGAGTATCCTGCCGGAAAATTTCGACTGGACCTTATCTCTGCTGAATCCAGCCTGAGTCCATCCTGATAGCCATATGGAGAGTTGGGTGCATATCAATCATTCATTTTAGCAACAAGTTCGTGTCTTTGTGGTTTGGTCGATAGCTTTCTTCTAGTTTGTCCCTTCTAGTGTTTATTTTAACCTTGAATCCTGTATATAAAGCCGTTCGCCATCATCACTTCTAGTTTTAATGACAAATCTATCACATCCGAGAAAGACTTATCTGACTGCCAAGTGAAACAAAAACAGGCTGGTGAAACTACATGACTGCTGTTCATCTAGCCATTATAGTTAGAGGCAGCGAGTATTTTTTTTAAAACGGCGTTTGATCGCAAGCAGAAAATCAGGAAACAACCAGCCGAAATTGATCCGGTGGTGTCATCTCGGTTGTGGATGAAACCCTTCCAGGCGGACTGGCTAGGTCACCGAAGAGATAAGCAACCAAATGAGTGGATACAAACGAATGCGTTGGTCTCCCTGTGTGCGATATGGTCGGACGCTTAGCAGGCGACTGCAGAATGACCAGCTTCTGACCATTGTCCGAGATTGTCCCTAATTAGTGACCTCAATTCCACATTAACCTAACCTTTGTTTAATTGCAAAGCAGGGTGAACAACAGTCACGCGCAGTGTTATTTAATGGTACAGTTGGGTCATTTACCCGCTCCTTTGGAGGTTGGTGTTAGGATTTTTGTGGACACAAAGTGTATGTAAAGCTAACGCTTGTTTGTCTTTTCTGGACTATCCTCTTTCCTCAACAAGGGGACCCAGAGCAGCACGCCAACCTTTCCCAAGCACACCTAACAGGTCTTGAGAGTGTCTATATTCTCACGGGATGATGCCTATCGTTTGCTGTGCGACCTGAACGTCTGTTGATACGTCGAGCTTACTAAACGGAACTTTCTTGATCCATTCAGACATATGGCATCTCGGATAATTTTTTCCGATCTTACTTATCAGCGGTACGTTGACAATTTTGAAAATTGCGGGCGTGCAAAACATTTGAGCAGTCTCCGACGAGCTGACAATTGAAAAGTGAACAAATAATAACACATTAACCGCTCAGCTGCAACAATATTTCGGTGCCTAGCTGTCATGTCACCCGAAGGAGACATGGGGGCTGGGATACTAAAGTCGAGAGGCAGAGGTCGGGTTCAAACCATGGGCCTTCTGGTCAGTAAAGTCGCACTCCAACCACCGGACAATATCGCCCCCATAAAAAGTGAACCAGAACATGGGTGAATAGATTAACAAACGAAGTTGACCTTATGACTCGAAATTCGGTGAATACATTGGATAGACTGAATCCGCCACTAGCATCTGAAAGCACCGAGCACTTAATTTTGGAGTAAATCTGCGCAACCAGTTTATGATCGATCTCAATCTGCATGTCCGTCTCATCTATGAGAGGCAATATGGCACACCGAAGCAAACTACACTTAAAGTACTATTTTGAAGTTGATCAACTCGCTTAATTGGCCGTAGCCAAAGACTACTTTACCAGGCAGGACATTGAATAAATCTTGAGAAGTCTGTCGTTCTTTGAAACGTAACTCAAAACCCTTCCATCGGTGGACTTTGCGTACCTATCTAAATAATTTAGCTTGTTTATTAAGTTAAGTCGTCTGTGAGATTTCCAAAACCATCATTTCGCTTATTTTCAGGAACACTGTTGTCCGTCCTCATCAACTGACGTGCATAGTTATGACGTTCCGAGCGTTTCGTATTGATTTATAATCAGCGTTCCTCATACCCCTTTACACTTTAGGCACATATGGTCAGCTTCATGTGGGCAAGATGCTTGTAAAGCCCAGCGAAATCAGGAGAACTGAAAGGGAGTTTTGGCAACCCGTCTTCGTCAAATCGCTTTCAGGTAACTGGAAAGAGTTGTCCACATTCATTGCCATAAGGCTACGTAAAGGAGTTGTTTAGAAATTGGTACGACATCAGTGTCTGAGTTAGCCACGAGAGAGTAATGTATCACTTGGATGAGTGCCAGTTAACTCAGAAGAAAACAATCTGTTCCGCCTTCAGAGCAAATCATATCCCGTATTTAGAATCAAAAGTATCATATTTCACTTGGCAGCTTGTGGCGTAACACTCATCTTCGACTGTTTAACACAACTACTATGACGGTATTACAACTGCTGTTACTTAAGTATATAGTAGGATCCGGATATCTTCGTGTAACAATAGAAGGAAAGGAAATCTAAATGTACCGAGAAGTAGGGGATACGTCATTTGAAGGGCGGATTCACAATGTGCGGACCCAAAGCCCATCTACAAATTGGGATTGTAGAAACAGGAGCTCCTGTGGAGACCCGTTGAACTCATTCGCTCTGGGAACACTTGGATTGAATGTGCTACACAAAGGTTGACCTATACTTTAGTCGGGCCGACATTCAAGAAGTGGAAGTGTTTTTTCTCTCCGAAGGCATGCGCATGTTGCGTTTAATGAAAGCTCTTTGACAGTCCAATAACGGTTTACTTTTCTGGAGCTCATCGTAGAGGCACAGTTCCCCAATAAAGTGCGAATATACTGCCTGTTTCGGCATATGGCATCTTGTCTCTCGCTAGATCAACCATTAATTTCATTACCTGAATAGTGAATTTTCGCGGCGTCTTTCGGGTTTACTTCGGAGTCCACTTCAAATAAGTTTATCTTAGAGTTCCACTGTCTCTTAACTTCGTAAGTGATCCCACTGCGGCCAACTCACCTGTCCAAATTTCCTAATCTTTCGGGACGTTTTACAATGTTTTTTGTGATACTGTAATATAATGTCTTCAAGTGTCTTAGCAGTGGTTCACTGAATGGCAGAAGGTACGGAGAGGGGAAGCAGTCCATCATGATTCATAATTCATGATGGGATTCTCGTAGCTGACATAATAGACGAGAACATATCACGGGCTGCTCCATCTTTAGATTCTGGACCGTTTCCTCCCACGGTTGAAGAATTATCCGACCGTACCGATTCGCTTGAATATCAATGCATTACTACCGTCGTTCTATCAACTGACCACTTTTACAATATTTCAAGCAGCACAGTCAGCATCGAGATAATCGCAGATCCTTCTTAGAGATTACGATGGATTCCCCTGAAATTGTTCAGTGTACCTTTGGGCGTCACTTTAGTCTGAACTAAATGATCAAGGATGATGGTGAATCCCAGATTACCTGAGACGTTTACATTATTGGTACTTAGTGCAGCCTAAAGGTATGGATGTTCACTCACGGGCTTTTTGTAAACGCACAAAGGTTAAATGCTGAATAAATACAGTTTATGTTAGGAGAATGCGGCAGAATATGATATCGATACTGTTCCTGCTAGTTTAGACGGCCCATCTTTTTGGTGGTTTCTTGGATCTCGACATCTGATGGGACGAGTGGTGTTAAAATGTCATGGGTTAACAGATTTTGCCAAGAGAAATGAAAGCAAAGAACAAGCCATGCCCCCATCTATGTGGAAACGAGTCGTTGCGGATACAGCTTGATGGGTCTGTTGTACAGTGATTCTGCAGGGAACGTGAAATTCCCAATATAGAGTCCTCGATGCTGCCCGGTCTGATCTGGTTTACGGTTCACGAGACCCGATACGTATACGCAGATCCGTCCAATGTCAAAAACATATGGATGAAATGTGTTAAAATGCACCTATGAACGTACTATATTACCTAATACCAACCCACATACAGCAGTTCTACCTCCTATAAAAGTTACTGCCTTGGTCCTCAATAACTAATACCAACCCATAGTTTTATTGCTATTGGGAATACCCACATACAGCAGTTCTACCTTCTATAAAAGTTACTGCCTTGGTCCTCAATAGGCTAACTGAATCTGGATCGTCTAATGAGCAGAGCTTCTAAAGGATTACTTCCACAAGGAATGCAACTGCATAACAATTTAACGTGGATAGCTGGGAAGGTGGTCAATTTGATGATCAACTTCAAGGACCCGAGCAAAAATGTTACAGCCTGCAAGCTGGACGCAGAGTTCAACATTGGGATGTGCTCAAGAAGACTAAATTAAAATGACTTGTGTTGCGAACCGGCCTCGTCCGATAGCAGCCCCTCAAGAAAGAGCATCTGTGATGTAAAAAACAAGCGCTTCGCAACGACAGGTTAAGGTGTATGTAGACTGACAGAAATTTCCCGATGTAGTGACTGTTGTGTTTTGTGTCAGTCGAGACAAACAAGGGAGTTATAAGGATGAGGGTATCGTAGCCCGTCGTACAACAATATGGGTTAACACAAACATTCGTTCCAGATCATTGGCTTAACCTGATTGGCTGGTTTTCCAGCCGCACGTTTGGTGCGGTGTATCTTGTTTGATTGGTGTTGTGGAAATGTAGAGAGCAAGCATTCGAGCTTCATCAGGGAAGATTTACCTCAGAAACACTGTCAGCATGTTTTACTATAAAGCAAGTGCTGAGGAGTTTCGGGCTAAACTCGGCCCGAATATTGTTAGAAGGGGTGCCATTTGGTGCATAATATGGGAGCTTTTAAAGTCGTAGCACAACGTAGTGGAGTGAGATGTTATAATCTGACGTTTCGATTGCCATGGTAAACTTTTTTCAAGAATTTCTACAATCAGCTGAATACGAGTCAAGTGTAGCGTCATTTGGTCCGCTGTCATTTCTTCTGATTGGCGTGTTTTCGTGAAATCTGTGATGAGGGCGAGAGCGAACCGTCTGAATTGGACTTACTGCACACCTCAGTAGGCATGGTGGTCAGATATCAAGTAGGCATCTCAACAATAACGCATCACAGCCAGCCCAACAACGAGCTCATCCTGGTGAAAGCACACACAATCACGCGTGCATACACCCAGAGCTAACACACCCATACACGCTGGTTGCATCTGACTGCCAATCAGAAGACGGGATGGTGAACCCTGCCCTTGACGCTGCACTTGATTCGTATTCAGTAAACTGCAGAAATTCTTGAAAAATGTTGCTTAAGTCAACCGAGGCGTCGGATTATGACATCTTGTCCTACTACCCTGTTTTGACTAGAAGTTTCCGTGTGAAGCCGGTACTCCTAGTTTAGAGTCAACTTTAACACAGACCCTAATGAAAACCTGGTGTAACGGTGGATACTACTGATGAGGCATGCGAGTAGCGTTTTCTCGTAAATCCGCCCCGCGTCTCTTGAAAAGTGAGATCTATTAAGGAATTTGTGGAATCACTTTGTAGCATTTGCTTGTATTTGAGTAACAGTCAATGATATCCAGGAAAGTTCAGGAAGATGCATTCAAGGAGAAGATGGCTATTCAGTTTCGTAAACATATCCAGGAAGTTCAGGAAGATGCATTCAAGGAAAAGATGGCTATTCAGTTTCGTAAACAAGATGCATATGTGGGTTTTGCTCCGCTGTTCGATAGTCTGTGATTGTTCAGTTGGTGTTTTCTAATAAACAGCTCCTCAGCGAAGGCCTCCTTCCTTTCACTGTTAGTTCAAATAACGAACCTATTTGGAAGATATCTTGTGAATCGCGGCAGCAGGTGAGTATGGACAAGTGAAATGTCAGGACAGGAGTTAAATTCCTGCTAAATTATACTTTGGAGACAAATTAAGACCGAAAGTGTAGATATGCTTATACACATTAGTTGTCTCACACAAAACCCAATGCCTAAAATTTTATTGACACAATGAGTGAGTTGGTACTTTGTCCAAAACCACCTTAATCCTGTTTATTTAAACAGACTATTGTCTGTTGGGTAGAAAGATATGTTACTCAGTCCCCCATTGTTTTGGCGGCTGAGCGATGTGAACAGCCTAAAAATACAACTGACAGCAGTATGGCATCTGGCTCCACTCTATCGAATTGTACAATCGTTGTTTTTTTCATAGTGGGGTGGATGTACTGAGAACGGCAACAACTCGTGCAACTCAGTGTCGATCCGAATTGGGTTAAGGCACAAGAGTGGATGCGGTTTTCAATTGGTGCTCTAGACTGGTCAAAACCGTTTCACAGAAACTTGAACTGTTTTTATTTCAACTTGTGCGGGTGAAATTTCGACACCCTTATTCGTCAATTACAGGTTCAGTCACTGATGAACAAATCAAATTTTTCCTCCAAGATGCATGTCACTTGGCAGGGCTACAGTGTGCAAATCTATCCCGTGTTATCGCTGATTCCCTTGGAGAATCGTTGCCTAGTACGAATTTTCAACACTCGCCAGGTTACAAACCCTTAGTCGTGTACCAATACGCAGAGTTTGGCAACCTGAAACGATATCTTCGATCGATCTGCGATAGTTCGGCTTGTATGATCAACGAACCGGTGAGTTCCATGAGCAGTTTTAGTGTTTTTGATCGTTCACTGTTCGCCTGAAGGTTGTCATTCGCTAACGAGCGTCCGTCGAATGAAACAGATCCCAGCTCTCGAAACGTTGCGTTGGCAAATGTTAAACTGTCCATTCCGGGGCGAATGAGCGAAAGAATACATCAATATCCCAGCAACTATGTTCTAGAAGAATAAGTATTTACGGATCTCCTGTTTGATTATTTCATGTTTTGAATAGGGTATCTCGTGAAATTAGCGAAATACACTTATTTGCAAACAAATTTGGTTTCTCGAGAGACTCACCTGGAACTCAGCTGAATCTCTCGTTTGTCATGTTCTCGGGCCACGATATTCGAGGTATTGCGATACATGTATACATTTGTAATTCACTACTCATAAGGTTGCTGAAACTTGGTGGACAACCCACGACCGGTTTTGCCTCAGACACGGAGTTCTGTTTCTGGGTCTAAAACAAAGATTACATGAGAGAAAAAGGACGTTTCTTGCCGACAGCTCTGTCTGAATAGCTTTTATTGATTTCACATCAAAGAAATTTGAACGCATACTTTCGCATTAATCAAACGTACCAAATATAATAGAGCGGATAGACGGGAAAGACCCCGGGATAAGGTGAGAGCAGACAATATGCACTTGTCAGTTGTAAGTAGGATATATGATACACAGCTGAACAGGTTTCAGCAAGAACTAGCGATTGATTGTAGAAATCCTTGAAAAAGGTTGCCCACGGCAACCGATTACGATAACTTATTCCACTATGCAGTTATACACCACATTGCGCTCAATTTTGTTAACAATGTTCGGCCAGGAACTCCCAAACTAACGATTTCATTCCCTAAAATGACGGGAATAATAGTGTGAGTGGTGTATCCTTCTTTAGTCGTTCACTGCTAAAGTTACAGTACACTAGAAACGTTCAATAATACCAAACTCAAAAGAAGTAGTGGTACACTGATGCACTGGGTGGGCTGCTCGTACACAAATGTGCGCACACAACGTAGGCATTAGGGACTTTTGTACGCCCTTTTCTGCATCCGACAAACAACATCTGTAAAAGAATGTTCAGGTAAATTGTTAAAACAACCAAGTTTTGCCAAATGAATGACGTCCGCAAACGAAATTCCCCATGAACCATAACCTAACTTAGAAAGTGTATTTTTTTGAAGCATTACTTTACGGATGAAATTTTCCGAGAACATTCTAGGCGCGCACTTCCTTTGTTCACATTCCAGCGACTCACCATGAATCAACTGATAAAAATGGGATTTCAAATATTAAATGCCGTGAAATTTCTACACAAGCGCCAAATTATTCACAAGGATATTGCAGCCAGAAATTGCATGTAAGTTGCGCACCTCTACTGGCCACTATCGTGAGGGAAATTCGAGTAATTGAGCTCATATGCTGAAATTGGAGCTCTGACTGAGCCCCTTATAGTTAATCGCATGTTGATGTTCTTTCAACTACTGTCCTGTGAACAGGCTGTCTGGAGATCTGGTCACGAAGGTATTCATTAAAGTTACTTCTGTTTGAAATAAGTAGTGTGGGGCGATTCCAGTCTCCCCACTGCAATGGCGCCATACACATGAATTCAGACGAACCATATAGTGTAATTGCTGTTCGAGTGATGGGTTGATTGTGTCAGCTTTTGAGGACCATGCCTGTCTGGGGAGCCCCAAAAGGGTGATGGGTTGTCCGCTGTGTCCCACACTGTTCAGATAATTTGTTTCTTTGTCACGGGTGGCATGTTTTGCCCGCATTCAGTTAAGTGGTTTGTAGGATTTCTACTCCCTGGCCAGTTCGAACAGTGTTTCTCCCGTTCTGTCTTTATCGTATGCATGAGAGCACTGGGTTGTACCTGAGACGTTGATCCAACCCAAGCCTGGAGATATTTGGCCTTTCGAAGGCATTAATTCACATGTCCGGTGTGCATTTCTAGACATCTAGACTGCACTGCTAATTCAGTTGAGGTCAGGTTTGTATGGTGAGTTGGGTCTGTTCAAATTCATGCTCGAATCCAGTGCTCTTTATCTGCAGCACAGGCTAACCAAAATGAACGAAACAAGACAGGAGAACGAGTGTCGGAAGGAGCATGATGAAAGTTTAAATATGTGGTTTTCTCCCAGCTAAACGAACGCAAATTAACTGTGTTTTAGGCTGTGTTTGAATGGTCTACATTTTAGTGAAACAAGTTTTTTTTAAAATGTAATTTCATCAATTTTGAGCTACCTGTAAAATACTAGGCTGTGTTGAAAGGTCTACATTTTAGTGAAACAAGTTTTTTTTAAAATGTAATTTCATCAATTTTGAGCTACCTGTAAAATACTTGAGAGGGCCTTCCATGATAGGATACCTGGAATTCTATGGAATGTAACGGTTATGTGGTATTTCAAGCAAAAAAATGAAAATACAGTTTTGATGTTGAAGACACTTGGTCCCACCACATCGGGAGTTGAAACGATAACATAATATAGGTTAATGGGTAACTTCAACGAGTAAGTAACTAACTAGAGTGTGATGGACTTGTAAATTCGTTAGGATGAGTTGCATAGTTCTGGTGACCTCAACAAGTAGAGAACAAGTGTGAGGTGCTCTCGCCCTCTTTGCAGCTCTGCCGTGCACCTCGAGGGCAGTGCGACAGCTGATGAATTCCGAGATTCCTTGAATCAAGATCAGAACAACTGATATATTAAAAGTGGACTCGAATGCCATACATCATCTTATTGAGTTCGTGTCTCAAATCATTTATTCCCGTAAATTCTTGCTGCTGGTCCAGAGACGCGCCAGAATGGTTTCGGTATGATGCGAGAGCTTTCAGTACCGAAGTATCTTCACCAACTAATCCTCGAGCGACAAATGTGAGACATTCTGCACTGTTTTTCAACCCTTCAAATTTCAAAGGTTGTACTTCCATCAATAGAGCCCGTTTTCACCTTCAGGTTGGGAAGCGGTTCCCGCGTGACACTGACAGACAATGCACTCAGTCGCGATTTCTTCCCCGAAGATTACCACTGTTTGGGTGACAATACAAATCGACCAATCAAATGGCTTGCTGTTGAAGGTCTAACAGAGCGAAGGTATTCGATGGCATCGGATATCTGGGCGTTCGGCGTCACAGTGTGGGAACTTATTACCAGATGTCAGCAGCCATACGAGGAATTCGAAGCATCTGAAATGTGGCAACTTTTACGAGCAGGCTACCGAATGGTCCAGCCTTACAGCTGTCCCGATGATCTGTAAGTTGTTCTTGAGTAACCTGATTTAACTCTTGGCATTTAAGGCTGCGAGTGATACTCCATTTGACTGAAATAGTTTTGGGCATGTTTATTATGAAAATTGTACCATTCGATGAAGTGCCTTTCGATTGCTCTTTGCTTTGCACAAAACCACAGAGAGCACATTGTTATCTATTTTTCAGGTGGAAAATTATTATGGCCTTTTGGCAAACGGATCCGTCTGCTCGGCCTAGTGTCATTGACCTTTCAGCTGAATTGACACGCTTTCACCAAACCCTGAATATTTACCTGTGATGATATGCCAGGTGAAAATTGACATAAAAGTCCGCGGAAACTTCCATCTCCGTTATTTTATCTAAGGTTATTGGTCAGAAATAAAAAACATTTTCTAAACCTTAGAATATGATGTACATGTGGCTAGAAAATCATGAATTTGAAACCATACTCTATTTCAGTGGCTTCAGATCAGTGGAATGAGACAACATCTTTGGGACAGTATCGACCCTGAAGATTGCCCCAACCATTAGTTTACGCACATGGTAGGAAATCGGTTCAGGCATGTCGCAACTTGGTGCATTGGAGTGTTTGCCAAATTATGAGCTTTATCTGTCTTTCGAGCGGTTGATCCCCACTCAGAGCCATTGTACACCAACTTCGACGCAGTAATTTCTATCTACTGATAAGATTTCTAGTAGCACGAATATAAAGCATTTGAACGTCCACTGGCTGCATGCAGAAAAGATGCGCTGATGAAACTGGGAGCAGCTCGTCAACCTTTTCGAAGCACATCTAACAGATAAACGCATTTAACGTCGACTGGCTGCATGCAGAAAAGATGCGCTGATGAAACTGGGAGCAGCTCGTCAACCTTTTCGAAGCACATCTAACAGATATTGAAGTGTCTATATTAGCACGGGATGATACCTATAATCTGCTGTGTGACCTAAAACTCTGTTAATACGCCAAGCCTGCTAAACAGGTGATACGTTTTGTTTCCGTACTCCAGGTGAACACTAACCACATTACAAACAGTATTGCTTCTTTTCAGTTCGACATTGCCAAGCTGTCTCGCTAGGACCTTTCGCACGACTCGGCTGAAATAAAAACACCGTAGGGCGCGTCGTCCACAGAAGGAAAAGGATATGCAAGTAGTTATTGTCCCCGAATTCTACATTACATTGGTCGTTGCCAGTAGAAGTATACAATGCTGGAACAGAAATCTGTAAAGTGGGTGATTGGTCGTAAATTCTGGCACACATGGTCAATAACTATGTCATATTAATGGCTTGTCCATGTGACACAAGCAGTTACTAATGGCACATTGCCGTTAACGATGATGATGATGATGATGATGATGATGATGATGATGATGATGATGATGATGATGATGATGATGATGATGATGATGATGATGATGATGAGATCAGTGCAAATGCAAGTAATTTTCCGAGGAACTCAACTTTTCCTGCAGTTGTCATTTTAAGCAACTTCAATTAAAACCTTGCTTTCTTTTTTTAGTATAAGTGAGATGAAGAAATTTTCAAACTTAATGGAGCCGTAGCAAACGTCTGATAGGTTTTGATTCAGTGGAGCCTCGCTATACCATCATATTCTTTCAAGATTGATGACGCTGGGTACAGTGAAGAGCTGAAAGTTGTACAAGAACCTGCTAGAGATAAGCTTCAACAGTCTGTTAGCCAGTACAGCTGCCATTGGGGTACGAATTCGAGTGGGCAAATATCGGGAGGAAAACACCTGCCGCCAGTACAAGTGATTTTTACGTGATGTACTCTGTGACACTTGCAGGTGAAGGCTTTACTGCGTTTCCTTGACTAGCACACCTCACAAACACAATTTGTGCTGCATGAATAGCAAGTCTAAAAGAGCCATTTGGCTTAGGTACTTTTGTGACGTCTTTCTAATCAACAGCCCGTGAAATTGCTTTCAAAGATAAGCGGATTTTCTAGTGAATAGAGCAAACACGGGAGGGGGACGGAATGAATTTTAACGTTGTGTCGGAATTCAGAATATCCCTGAAATGACTGAGAGTAAGCTGCGGGGAAACATGGGAAAAATTGAACAACGAGAAGTCGCTTTTTGCAGTAATCTCAAATAAC